GGGGCTGCGGGGTTGTCACGCCTGGCAGTCGGGTGCGTGAGGGGCGGAGGGGCGTCACGCGAGTGGGAGCTGCGTGGAAGGGTCGGCATCAGGGGTGCCGTGGCAAGGAGGGGGGCGCGGGGCCCTTCCTGTGGAGAATATTCGTGCCGCGTGGGTGGGGAGGGTGGCGGGTCCCCGGGCCGCCTCGCTTGGCCCTGTCACGCGTGGGGGCCCGTGACGCGCGCGCCCGCGGGTGGGTTTCTGCCCTGCTCCCGCGGGTCTGTGGCCGCGCCCGTGGGAGGCCGGGCCCTGGCGTGCCTGCCTGTGCCCGGGAGGACGCAGCTCTCCTCGGGTGGGGGCTGTCCTGCGGCCGTGGGAACGGGCTCGGCACGCCAGCAATGGCCCTGTGTGCAGGGGGGGCTGCTGGGCCCGCGGGGCGCTCCCAGGGCCCATCTTGACCCAAAAATACGGCGGCGGCGGGAGGCGTCTGCGGCAGCACCCACGGCCGGTGCCCTCAGAGCAGCCCCCCGTGCCCTTGCGAGGAACGTGGGTCCTCGCAGCAGCTGCGTGTCCCTGGAGTTTGTGGAACAGGGTCTTGTAGGAGTAATTAGTTTCAGCCTAATTAGGGCTGGTTGCTTTACTCCACGTATCTGGTTAAATCCAAGCGATGCAATCAGCTTAAGGTAAAATCGGCGTGGTTGAGATAAACCTCTCCTGAATGTAAAACCAGACAGGGGGATCTGGGTCTGGGCAGTTCCCCTCGTGGGTCTCCACTGCGGGCGTGGAGCGGCTGGTGTGGTCAAGTGTTGCGCTGCTGCGGGGAGGAGAGAGGGACAGCCTGGTGTTTGGGAGTTGGCTTCTCTGAGCACAAAGTGATTGAACTTTTAAATTGCCTTATGCAATAATGAACGATGACTAAATTGTTGAAAAGCACAGCTCTGTGCTGATGAAAACTATAGTGCTTGTTCTTGGCCAGCTGTTGCAGGCTTCTTTTCTTGGTTCTGTTCTGGAAATTTACCATTGGTCTGACAGCCAACTGTGAATAATTTTTTTAAGCCTTGCTGTTGGTTCACTCATATCCAGGGATTTATTTTCTTCCCTTTTGTTTTTGTTTTTTTTTTAGTTTGAGAGACTACAGTAGGAGTTAAATGGTATTAATAGTTCATATCTAGTGAAAGTTACTCACTCATGTTATTGCATGTATTAACCTGATGTGGGACACATGCATCAGAAGTTATTTTCCAAAGTTCCTATTTCCTCTGCTGTATTTCATGTTGAGCAAGAGGATTATTTGTGTTGTGTTACATGTCTTGTAATTATGAGATCTGGCAGTTTACAGACCAGAATCTTAAATTCCACTGAGCATCCAGTAAATCCTTCTAATCCTCTAGGGGAATAGTGTTTTTGTTTAGAAATTTCAAGGCAGGGTGTTTAAGGAGTTATCTAAATAGGAAGTAACTTGACATTCAAACGTAGGTCATTCAAACATAGGTATTTATTGTGAGAGTCCTTTTTACATAATATTAAAATCAAGGAGATTTTCAGAAAAGATGATAACCTTGTTGCATTTTCCCTTTCTTAACGGTTCCATAGGAAAACAAAGTATTTGGGAGAGTAGATATATTCTTTAGACGTGTGTTTGCTGGGTATGGAGTGAAGTAATAGGTAAGTAGTGAGAAAATAATAGTTCTGGAAACTTAATCTGTTACGTTAAAAGGATTTGAGCAAAAGTCATACTCTGCTAGGTAACAGTTTATTGTTCAGTGCTATATATGAAGAAGGCATTGGTGCAGCTGTAACCAAAGCTCCAACCACCTGGTTTTTGTTTATAGCAATTGAGTAAATATTAGATATGTGCCTGCTGCATATTTCTTGCACATCCAAAATGCCCAATGAATTAGTGGAAGGAAAGCTTTTTTGTACCAGGGATGCAGGAATGATCTCTGCAAATGTAATGCTCTGAAAAGTTTCAGAAATTCTCTTGAGATGTGAAAACAAACAAACAGCTTGATCAAGTGTTGAAGAAAACTTTTGAATTGACCTGTGTTGTTGTACAAATGTTTGACATCTACTTGAAATTTTTCTGTCTTTTTCTAGTTTCTGTCATTCATCACTCTTTCCTAGCCCTTAGATGCTTTCATTAAGATTGATGACTAAAGGAGAGTAATGTGGCCATCTATCTTCCAGAAGATGGAAGGACTATTGTCCACTTCAAACACAGGAGGTCTGAATGAGTCTTGAAAACCACAGCCTGTCAGCTCGTTTCTCTGCTGTGAAAATATCTGCAATTGTATTAGTGCTACGCAGGCCTGTTGCTTGGGGTGCTCTAAGGCATGGACATGACAGCTAGCTCTGCTCCATAAGAGAGAAGCTGGGAGCTATTTGCATTGCTTTCTTGAGGTCTACTGGTGGATTTTTGAAAGACAGTTTTAACACATGTACTGTTGTTCCCTTGGATTGTTCTGACACTTTCGGTCTTGTTCCACTGTTCTTTCCCTTTGCTGTTTTTCAGGTACAAAAACTGCTCTGTATGTGTCCAGTGGATTTCCATGGGATTTTCCAGTTAGACGAACGTCGCAGAGATGCTGTTATTGCTTTAGGAATCTTTCTAATTGAATCTGACCTTCAGGTACTTTTCCTGCATAGGCTAACTTTATTTAACTTGAAAGATTTTGGATTAATTCAAATTTAGTTGTTCAATGAATGAAAAGTTGGTATTTACTCTTCATAAAAATAAAATAAAAAGATCAGAGGTAACAGATGGATGCAGGCAGGAGAGCACAAGGACAGTACTGACGAGTGGGATAGACAGCAGTCATGGCACTGCCACAGACAACCTGCTGTTGTGTTTTTTGGTCATTATAGCTTAAGGAAAGAAAGGAAAGGCTATTCAGGAGGATTTGCTCAAACCATATGTGTCATTGCGTGTTCTTCCTCACATGCTTCTGAATGGTGGGTATGTTCCAACATACTCCTGAACATCAGGTTTGTAATAGGCCTTTTCATGCCTGGCACTAGCCAGGATAAAAAGACAAACAGTGCACATAGGCTGCATTGTACACAAACATCCCTTTTGTGTCTGTCAGCCTGTTTATGACAAGCTGGTTCTCTTCCCTTCGAACTCTGGGCGTAGTATTGTTTCATGCAGAGGAAAGGAAGGATATACAGAGTCCTAGGTCCAAAGTCATTAGACCTCACTTTAAGTCATTTAATGTTGCTAGGGTTTGCATCAGGCCTGAACTTCCTCCTACTTAGTATCTATTTGCTATGATACAGCTTGTGTGCATATTATTAATATTGTCCTTTTTGTGGTTTTTGTAGTACAAAGTTTAAATAAGGCAGCTATATTCATGTTTCTTAGTGTTTTTATGATGTTTTCAAAGCCAGCAGTTAGTATTAATTAATCCAACTCTGAGGAAGGAAGCGCTATCCTTTGATTTGCAGATTAGGAAGCTGAAGTCTGACACAGATGTGTTAAGTGACTTGCATAAGACCACGGGATGGATCACATGTTCTGAATTGGGACTGGCACTGAATTTCTAGCTGCCTTAAAATTATTTTGTGACCTTGCTGTAAAGTAATAAATTGTTTGGGGTCAATTACTGTTCTGGAAACTTTTTCTCCAACTTCTACAAAGAATGAACTGTTGCCTAGAATTGGGATTAGATTGGATTTGTCGCAGTGAATTGGTTTACTGTCATTTGCTTGTGTTGAAATCAATTTTGCAATATTCAGGAATCCTGTGGTGTAATTATTATAAGCGAGTTCTGTGTGTGGCTAATGTAGTCTTTCCATATCTCTAAAATATCTTGAGATGATAATGGTTCAGCTTTTCTTCTCCATTTTAAATAGAGTATTTTCCTCTCTAGCACAAAGATAACGTGGTTCCTTACCTCCTCCGACTTCTGAAGGGTCTTCCCAAAGTCCAATGGATAGAAGAAAGCAATGCACGGAAGGGCAGAGGTGATGTTTGTTTTTTTTGATCATTCTCATAGAATGCCAGCCGAGAAATAGAAATAACAAAGGTTATTCAGGATATGGTACAAGGGGAGGTGGTAGGTCCTGCTAGGTTCTTAGCTCCTGACTCAACAGCCTTTCATATTGATTTTATTTAGAAGCAAAGAGGAAGTTGAATAGCTCCCAGCTTTCTTGCTTGACTGCTTTGTGATAAATTACACTTTCCAAATAATTCTATGCTCAATATATTTTGTTACTAAATTGGAGAATATTGTGTAGTAGTTAGAGCAGCAGAGGTGAACCTGAGATTTGTACACTCTACTTTTAGCTTTGATGCTTAGTAGCTATTTAAACCACTTCATTTCTTGCTCCCTTAATAGATCTTAAAATTAATATAAGAATACTTTTATATAATACTATATAATCTTTTTTTTTTTTCAATTACTTGAAAGCCTGGAGAATTTTTTAATTATTAAAATTATTCTTTTAACATTTCATGGTGAAATTACGATGGTTAGAGCATAGTTCTGAATTTTGTATGTAATACTATATTTTTCTACAGTCTGTCTCAGAACTGTATGACATGGGAATCAACTTAATGTCTTCTGGCTTTATTATTATTTGCTCTTGCTATGTTGGTTCTCTCTAACAATGCTTAAGTGGCTTAATTTCTGTCCGCTACTTTGCAGGCTTGCTTCCAGTGGCAGAAAACTTCAGCTTCTGCTTGGTAACGTTGTTATCAGACGTTGCTTACAGGGATGCATCTCTCAGAGAGCAGGTAGGGTTTATTTTAAGTTAGTGCTGATGTAGTACCCAATTCTCTAATGCTGCAGTACTGACAAATGTCTAGAGAAGAGTACACCACAGCCGCTTCGTTTCTT